CAAACCAGTGATGGAACACGCTGAAAAAATGTATCTGGTCCCCAGCCGTCAGCTGGATCAATTAAGAACCCCTCTTCCCAAGGATGAAAACATACGAACTACGGCCATCTCATCCCTAGATAGAGAAATGCAGGGGATTCTACACAGGACTGATTTATCCGAACATGAAAAAGCACGACTCTACAATACCTTACTTCAAAAATATTTAACCCATCTAAAACAAAGGGATGCTGAGAAACAAAATTTAAATCTGTTTCTACCTGAACCAACTGCTGAAGAAACAACAGCCCCCGTTGCTGACAACGTGTTTCGTGAAGTGGTAGACAGCCTGCCTGTTAAATACAAGAATCACGCAAGATTGATACTCAACAAATTAAAGCTAAACAGGAATATTTCTACATGGGATGATAAAGGATCCTTCGTGTATAAAGGAGAAGTCATTCCCGGATCTAACATCTTGGACTTAGTCAAAACTGCAACTCAAGCTAATGCAGTTTCTGTTACACGTCTCCCTAAAGGGTGGGATGATTTTATGAAAGCCCTGGCTGAAATAAACACCCCGACATCCGTGATAGGTAATACGACCAATCGACAATTCCTGGATTATTTAAAAAACCCAACGGGTTCACCCCCCGTTCAAAGACGCAAATCTTCTAGGGAGCAACGCCAAGCTAGCTCTCCTACCTGGCTCAGCTTATAATAATTTTATTTACACTAAATAAAATACTTCTTTTCTTAAATTCGGTTTTATTGTCATTGCCTGTTCTTTTAAAAAGACAAAATAGAACCACACACATCATATTCCAAAAGCACCCTAGGAGGGTCTTTTTATTAAAAGACGTTTATGAAATGCACTACAGGACATACATTGTTGCAACGTTTGAAACATATCTGAGGAGCGGGTCCTTGTGTTCATTTTCTTCACAAAACGCATAACCATTTTGTCATTTTTATCCAAATCGTCGGAATATAACGCGCTAATATTTTTAAAGGATTCTCCCATACAACGTTGGTGAATGAAAAAAGCGCAATGATGTCCGCAAACAACTGAGTCTGAGGCCTGTACAGGTTTGCATTGAAACACTGTTTTGACGGCATTTCTTCTTAAAAAGTTCACAATGGCTTTGGGAAACAAAGCATAGTCAGGAGGGTGTCCATATGAGTCAAAAAATTCAGCTGTCCTTTCATTAGGTAGGTAAACAGCTAACCAGTGTTCTCCGGGAAGGTTATGGGGATGAGTATTGATAATCAGCGCTAATGGTCTTTGCTGCATGTGCTTTCTTGGAAGTTTGTCATAGGGTAACACACCATAGAAGCTGTTTTGAGTATAGGGGTTTGAGCTTAGTAGACGAGTTAACTGCAGGCTATCCATTTCACATATAATCAAACAAGACGTTTCTCCTGTGATTTATTTCTATCACGTTGTCAAAGACGCCGTAAACCACCATATTGACGGTTGTTGGCAGAGGCTTTGCGAAACGCAGTTCTGCCCTCAGGTTTCCAGTTTTAATCAGCGAGTAATGGTCTGCACATTCTTGATCCGGAGTCAGGTCAAACGCAAAGAGTGTGTAGCCTTTTGCATACTCCTCACGGTTAATTAAAAGTGCACTGTCTCTCATGTGTTTGCCAGCAGTCTGAACTAAACTCATATATTCTCTCACACAGTTATCCTCTTCAAAATTGGGTTGAAATGGTTTCATAGGATACTGCTCGCCATCCAGGTAGAGTGCCGCAAAATTGATGTCATAATGCTTAAAGTTGAAAGGGTTTTTACTGTACGCTCCGCTGAAAGAATCGTTATCAACGAGCCCTAGCACCACCTGCTTAGGAAGTTGCCCCAAAAACAGGTTCTCTTGATTGGAGACACGGCTCCCTACCGGTATGCTGAATACTTTCATGCTTACACGGTCCACAGGGTATTTGGCATTAGACGTAAGTAGGGCTTCAGCATGTCCTAGGCGCACGCCAGGTGTCAATTTCACTTTTTTGACAAAGAGGGAGGCTGATAAAATCTGTAATTTGTATTGCTTGTTTGCATCGTTGCTCATTAAGCAGAAGGCATCTTTATTGCGGGTAAGTTTAATTTTCACATCAACACCGTTCAGCAGCAGTTTTTCTTGGAAAAACATGTCAGCATGGAGATGACCCAGCAAGTCTATTTTTTTACTACCAGCTCCCAGGGATGCTCTTTTGCTAAAACCTTTATTTGCTCCATCCAGAGCCGTAATCTCGTGTTCCCCTGCATTGTCTTTATAAAAAGCTCCAGCCGTAAATTGCGTGGCTAGTGTGTCTTCGCCATAGTTCAGCACGGATTCAATGTATGCTCTGTAAGGATAGCAGTTGTTACTTTGGCTGATGAGTCGGTCCCCTAAAGTCACATCTAACTGGCTGAAAATGGAGGCTATCGGGTAATTCACAAGACCTACCGCGGCCCCGTTGGCCAGGTTTGTCCCGTCTTCATTCACCACTTTGCACGTCAGATATAAAAGCGTGTTGTTGAGATCCATATAGTCTTCACCATTTCCAGCAATAAAAAAGTCCAATGGTGAGGATTCTGTAAGAGCGGTTAATGGTGGAACTTCAATATAAAGGCTTCTCTCAATACTAGTTTGTGTAGGCCCGATGCTAAACAAATCAAGTTCGGATTTGGTGCACTCTTCAGAACAGCCGTGAATAAAAGCCATGCTGCCTTTTAGAATATGTCGTTCGTAGGCTGTATCCTCCTCCTCTTTCTAGCTCCTCGACGCTTCTGGGGTTTCTTTCTACGTTGCACTTTCCTTTTAATGGGGTGCGGGGGTCCTTTCAATCTCAGTTGCGATGCTTTTCTTTTTAACCCTCTTCTCCTTCTAATATACATAAGGCCCGACCCCTCTTGAGGGTTTGCCGGTCTTGTTCTGTTTAGAACAGCTTGGGTGATATGGCCGACCATGTCGTTGGCTATATTACGTGCGGCTGTTTTTGCGTGGGGTTTGATGATGTCAAAACCTCTTCTCAAAAGTGGTACAGCTTTTCGGAAAAGGCTTCTGAAAATCCCACCTAGGCCCGTTCCATACATTTGTGGAATACCATGATACCCCGGTAGACCGTTTCCAGCTTGTGCTCTGTAATAGTTTTTATAAAGCCCAGGATCCCCATAGGATTTCAAGATGGCCATTTTAAAGATCCCAGGCCCTCCTAGGTCGGAAGTGCAGCTTCACGATCACCTTTCCAAAACGAAATGGTACGTTTTTGTTCTGGTCTGACTTTATCTCAACAGTGATAGTGTCTATGTGATGTTTGCTCACCGGAATGTAGTGGGGTTTATCGTAACAGATGTTGACACGTTCGTTATTCTTCCCTTGCACCGGCACACATCGCAGCAGAGGAACGTAGAAATCTCCAACGAGCTGGTGCTCGACTATATCAGTGTAAACATATAAGGTGTTGAAACCTCCTGTGATGTCTGCTGAGAAAGCTGACTCATTGGCCGGAATGTCAGGGTGCAACCCCAATATATACTGTAATTCCTTGTCAGCTACTATCTTATACTTATTCTCGGGCTTAAGTAGGACCTTTCTGGTCGCTGGTTCATACCTAAGAACCGCATTCAGGGGGTTCCATCGTGTTGTAATGCGTTCGTTCATATATCTCAACAGCTCTGGGATGTTAGAATAATACCCTTTCTCCAGAAAGAAGACCCACTTCTTTTCTTCTTGTACAATAGTAAAAGTTGAATGGGTCGTCAGATTATCCCAGGTGTGTGGATACTGTATTTCAACTAGTCCTACTTCCCAGGCCCCCGTGAGCTCTAGAGGTTTTGCTAATGATATAGTGAAGCTTGAAATGGAGTTCCCGGGAAAGGCTATAGCACTCGCATTGCTAGGTAATGTGACATAAAAACCAGCATCCCCCATTTCTTTCCTTAGGAATAAAAAGCTCTCAGCTAGGCAAGTTCTGTTACTTCGGAAGCCTGAACCCAACTGTTGAACTTGCTAGGCCATCCTAACCATTTCACTAAGCATTGCTTTCTCGCCCCCTGGCCTTTTGTGGCTAGAATTTTTTCAATCCTGTAGATGCAGTCTTTGTCTGTATTAATCTTTTGCAGTTCTTCAGTATAAAAGCTGCCTATGACGTCTTCACCCCCATAATCTTTCAAAAGAAACACTGGCTTGTCTGTTTTTTGAAGAACCTGGTCCACAATGAATATCTCCGTGGTAAAGTTCTGTTCGTACCCCTTAGCAAATTTACCCTTGCTTTTGGAAATCCTCACGTGGTCTCCTTTTCTGATTTGGTTTGCTTTTACCTCTATTCTTTTCACAGGGCCCCCGTAAACGTTCCTCCACACTGTTAATGCGTTGGAGTCGTTAACATCTACGGGTCTTGCTTTGATAGTACGGTGAAAACTGTGGTTATAAGTTTTGAGTAACAAAGGCAGAACATCGATGTAGGTAAATGTGTTATGAGCTGTGAAATATCTCCACATTCTTGTTTTTAAAGTTCTGTTAAATCGCTCCACTACTCCAGCTTTAACCTCATTGTTGGTGACAAAGTGATGGATCCCGTGATGTTTCATAAGCGTGGATACTGACTTGTTTAGAAACTCACGGCCCCGGTCTGTCTGTAATTTTTCAGGTTTTCGCCCATCTTGAGTAAAGATTGCATTAAACCCCCCTGCCACCTCTCTAGCTGACTTATCCTTCAGTGGTACCCCCCATGCGTATTTAGACAGGATGTCTATCACTGTTAAAATGTATTTGTAACCACGGTTAAACTTGGAAAGCCGTTGCATATCCACTAAATCTGCCTGCCATTGAGAATCCACATGAGAAACAATAGTCTTGTTTCTTCTAAAATGGATCCTTGCCGGCCTGTGTAACGTGTAACTGTCTTGTTTGGATAACCAATGAGTAACATCCCTCTTCCTCACACTTTTGCATTGTTTTCTGGCTTCTTGAAAAAGCGGACAAACGCCTCCAAGGCTTCCTACCTTCCCCGGCGAATAATATATTTTCTTAAGGATTTCTGCGTATTCTGACATGGCTCTTAATGCATGAAATGAACACACAGGTACAGATCAAACTCATTTTATTGAGAAAACACACATAGCATCTCTATTCTGCAGGCTTTGTTTTAAAGACAGGACATGATGGAAACTTCCATGGTCTGTGAGTCCCCGATCTGTAGATTCCGCACATCACCCGAAAAGTGGATACTTCCCTACGGAAATCAAACAAATAGCAATGAGTCTACAACACACAATTTCATAACTCTCTTTCACAACACCATGCCCCACCCCACCCCCACCCCACACATACACAGTTTGGACATTCTAACGCTTACCTTAGAACTCTCAAAACCGTCAGAAGTGTTTTCATCAACAGCCATGTTTTCCTTTTCCTCAGCCGCATACTTCAACAGATCAGATAGGAGTGACCTCCGAATGCTTCTGTCTGGGTATGGTTCTTCACACATACTCTCGGTATCCTTATACTCTGCTTTACAGTCCCTTCCTTCATCCAACTTTTCAGCCTCAGCCTCCGCACAGCGTTTTTCCTCCATTTTGGAATGCCATTTTCTCAAATCCTCGGGGTCTGTATCAGGCACTATCTCTTCGTCCTGGTAGCCGAGGTTATTAGTCAGACTTCCATACCCTTCATCATCATCATCCACATCAGCGCCGACACATCGCATTCTCGGCATTTCAGGGTAAAGCTTTTTCAATTCGACCCAGTCTGTACCCCGACCATAAAAATCAGGCTCAACATCTGTGAATTTATTTTCCACAGCATAAAGACCCGGTAATAAGTTGAGCCTTGTCGGCGGCTTTGCACTCGAGGTTTCTCTCCGCTTTTTAGGGCTGCTCACAGGCGTTCCCGGTATGGAAAATCCTGTTGTCCCCTCCGTGATTGGATAAGACCAGTACCTGTAGTCGCTTTCAGCTGTTCTCTTCATAGTTGCTTGTTTCTTTCTAGGCGCATCTGGTACTGAAAGGCTTGCGGAGGTTGATGGGCCAGCGGGCGAATCCATTTCATGTGTTGTTCTGCAAAATAGTCAGAGCAGGCTCCCTAAAACTCTACTACATTTTATTTAAACCCTAAAAACACCGCCTATTGGGCCACACTACCACATGGTCACCTTATGGGGCTAATCCATTCCCTATTGGTTACTATGCACCACGTGATGGCATCTTAGACCGGCCGCATGCACGCCTGGCTGTTCATTTCCACATACCATTCATTGGGGATAGGTCTATCCATCCTATGTTCCACACAATGGGTTAGGGTGGGGGTGGGGTGGCCGTGGGGTGCGGTTTCAGGCCGTGGGAGGGCCTCTCAGCCATCCATTTCCTGTTTTAGGAGAGGCGGGACTTCCGGACATTGAGTGGGAGGGGCATGGGCGGGGCCTTCCCCAAAAGGGGGCGTGGTACCTGTCAAATTTGAGTTTGACGAGAGGTGCCACCTTTTACTACTTATGTCTGTACTATAACCACTCCCCTGGGGCTCGGAGCGGCTTGCAAGAACAGGCTAAAATCTAACACAATTTAAAAACAATTTAAAACAATTTTAAAACAATTTAAAACAACAACAGACCTTACTAACTCTGAGGATGCTTGCCATAGATGCAGGCGAAACGTCAGGAGAGAATGCCTCTAGAACATGGCCATATAGCTCGAAAAACCTACAACAACCCAGTGATTCCAGCCATGAAAGCCTTCGACAATACATTGCATATTGCCTCCATATGATATCTCATATGGCATGTCTGAAGATGCCACCAAGGCATGTCTGAAGATGAGTTGGACTCAGGAATATCATTCTTCAGCTTTGTCATCCTGCCCGCTTCACTCATGTTTCCCCCTGCTTTTGGCAAGGAGCAGCAAAGGGGAGCATTTCAGTGATGGGCACACTGGCATGCAGTTCTGGGCATCATTATAACAACAAGATAGGAAGGCTCTTCCTTCTCTGCATGTTCACATCTAACATCCTGAAATAATTGAAACAATTCAGGTGGTATCATATAAATAAACACTACCCCCTTCCCCACAAAAAACAAACTCATATTCAAACTTCAAGAGCAATGGAAATGGACTCTGGGCTCTTACTGTGATGGCCTGCTTAAACATAAAGCATAACCACAGAGTATAGGAAAGATTTTGGGATAGTTCCTTAGCCAGTGAGTATCAGAATGACTAGATTGATTTAATGTTGATTTACATCACTAAAAAGCATGGCCCCACATTTTTCAGATGTGATTAGCACCGGAATTGTGGCGCAGCTGGCTGAGTGTCAGCTGCATTAAGATCACTCTGACCAAAAGGTCATGAGTTCGAAGCCAGCCCGGTTTGGAGTGGGTTTCCAACCAATTGTGTAGCCTGTTGTCGACCTTTGCAACCCGAAAGACAGTTGCATCTGTCAAGTAGGAAAATTAGGTACCACCTTAAAGTGTGGGGAGACTAAATTAACTGATTTATGAGGCCATAAAGAAGACTCCAGCAAAGCACTCCAGCAAAAAGCATGCGGGGAATGCGGAAGTATTTCATCAGTGTCGCAGATGGACGATGAAAGCGACAGCTCCCCTGGCGGCCAGAAAAAGTTAAATAGCCTCTGTCTATGTCTGTATATGTTGTATGTCAAAATTGGCATTGAATGTTTGCCATATATGTGTACACTGTCAGGTCCATAGCCAGGATTTCGATTCGGGGGTGGGGGACTGAGTTTGTTTCGGGGGGGGGGGCTGAGTCTGAGTGAAAGAGGGTCTACCCTAGCAAACCTTTTGTATCGTTACCCCAATACCCCCCATGCATATGGGATATATTGAGTATGGTGATCAGATCATGATATGAATAAACATATCATGATCTGATCATGATCTGATTTAAACATAACAGTTTAAATAATGCACCAGTAAGGCCATTTCGCGAACCACCATGAGAATTTCGGGGGGGGGGGGGCGGGGGGGGGGGGGGCGGGTGAAGTTCCTCTGGCACTGAATGTTTGCCATATATGTGTACACTGTAATCCGCCCTGAGTCTCCTGCGGGGTGAGAAGGGCGGAATATAAAAGCTGTAAATAAATAAATAAAAATAAAAATAATAAATATTTTCAAAAGTTTTTCTGGAGTGATATACCATCTGTAAATAATTTAATTAAACGATTATTTAATGGTATAACTTCTTGTGAGTTGTAGTTGTTTCTTCCAAAGTTCTTCCCATTACTTTAAAAATATATAAAATAAGAGTGAGCTTATAGTACTTCCACTGACCTGATAAATCAACCTGATAAATCAACTAAAATGTCTAGACTTAGGCATAAGTATATATGGCCCTTTTCTCCCTTGGCTTAGTTTGTGTGTGTACATATGTGTCGCAATTGTACTGCAAGTGGTCAGAACAATTGGTGTAGCAATTTCTGTAGAATGGGAGATTTAAAACTGAGGTGGGTATGCACTCCCCCCTTTGCAGTTTGATACATACTTTTTAGTGTATGACATAGTAAAGGTAAAGGTAGTCCCCTGACATTAAGTCCAGTCATGTCTGACTCTGGGGTATGGTGCTCATCTCCATTTCTAAGCTGAAGAGGCAGCGTTGTCCGTAGACACCTCCAAGGTCATGTGGCCGGCATGACTGCATGGAGCGCCGTTACCTTCCCGCCGGAGCGGTACCTATTGATCTACTCACATTTTCATGTTTTCGAACTGCTAGGTTGGCAGAAGCTAGGGCTGACAGCGGAAGCTCACGCCGCTCCCCGGAATCGAACCTGCGACCTTTCGATCAACAAGCTCAGCAGCTCAGTGCTTTAACCCACTGCGCCACCGGGGGCCCCTTTATATGACAATAGTCTACTTCAAATTTGCATTTTCAATACCAAAACAGCTGTAATTTCTACAACTCAATGGCATTGGATAAAATGAGTCAATCATCTTAAGAGAATATTTCCCAGACATCAGGAACATCCAGCATTCTCCAGAAATTGTTTCTTCTGATCCATAGAAAAGGGGAAAAAAACAGAATCTAGATGTAATAAATCTCATCTTACAGTCAGCACATAATAGTTTTATTTCACAAATCTATATAAATAAAAATGTAATGTTCGTTTGTGGTATTCACGGAACTCAAAAACCACTGGACGAATTGACACCAAATTTGGACACAAGACACCTAACAACCCAATGTATGTCCTTCACTAAAAAAATGATTTTGTCATTTGGGAGTTGTAGTTGCTGGGATTTATAGTTCACCTACAATCAAAGAGCATTCTGAATCCCACCAACGATGGAATTGAACCAAACTTGGCACACAGTTCTCCCATGACCAATAGAAAATACTGGAAGGGTTTGGTGGGCAGTGTCCATTGGTTTTAGAGTTGTAGTTCACCTACATCCAGAGATCACTGTGGACACAAACAATGATGGATCTGGACCAAACTCTACATGAATACTCAATATGCCCAAATGTGAACACTGGTGGAGTTTGGGGAAAATAGAATCTTGACATTTGGGAGTTGTAGTTGCTGGGATTTATAGTTTACCTACAATCACAGAGCATTCTGAACCCCACCAATGATAGAATTGGGCCAAACCTCCCACACAGAACCCCCATGTGGGCCACAGCAACGCGTGGCAGGGGACGGCTAGTAAATAATAGTGGGCATGGATGCAAAATACCATGGCAACATTTACAAAAGTCATAATCAGCCTCTGACAAAAATCCTACAGAGCACCTCAAATATGGCGAAAAAAAACAAAGTTTTGCTAACTTGGAAAGGAAAAGTGTAGGGAAAAGGATTTATGTAGCTTAACCATGGCCGCAATAGTCATCTGCAGCTGTCTTGGATTGCTAAGACAACTCCTTCATCTTTCCTTACTTTATAGCAGTTACAGATGAGTGACCAAGAAAGAACAGAAGAGGAATATCTGAAAATCTCCAAGCTTTTGAGGTGTCAGCTTAGAAGAGGAATAACGGCACTATAAATCAGGAGAGATACCTAAAAATAGTGTTTGTGCTTATTGTTTTTGCTATCAGTATGGATGAAATGTTTCAAGCTGCGTCAGTCAACTCTCAGCTGAGTTCCCCTCCCATAATTTCTCACTAGTTCTAAAAGTCCAGCTCTGATAAATCCTTGTTTTAGGCACTTTTAATAGCATTGTCTGTAACCAATACCTAAACATATGAATCAGGACATCACGTTCATGAGGCTGCTCTAAACCATCATGAGACTTAAAAATGAAATCTTTACCATATGACCTTGGAGTGTTATTTCTGCCCGCATTCCATTAGTGAGGCACCTGATAATGTCACACAATGGCTTCTGGACCATTGAATTATGTGGGTATGCCTTTCATTTCCTGTCACTTTATCAGATTGACAAAATCCTTTCTTTTATATAGTCTTAAAGTTGCTATAACCTTACAACTAATGCCAGCAACTTGAACAAGCGGGTTCTTTCTGGAGAGATGATAGTGACCAGATCTGTGATAAGAAAGCATTTATGGTCCAGCAGGGATAAGGGAACTAGCAGCTGTAGCTATGGGAGGAGGTTCTGACTTCCCCATGCTTTTTTCTGGCATCTGTTCTTCTGCGGGAAGCCTTTTTGAAGGAGGGGAGAATGGAGAAGAGCAGAAATGCAGTTTTATATTCTCAATAAAATGTACAGATTGCATATTTGTAACAGTCTGATGCCACTTGAACTCTCATGGATTCATGGGCGCTATCCACTGGTGGACATTCATTACACAGTCCTACAACCTCATCACATTACCTATGGGATTCACCAGGCATTGTGGCGAATCCAGTGTGAGTATGGGGAACCTGTTGCTCCACGCTCCACATCGCCTGGCTTCTCCCTTACCTCATTACATCGGGGGGAGCATCCACCACACAGCTTCCCCTCGTTGTTGGCTATGCAACACAGGAGGCCTTCTGTGTTATCGTGATACCGGCATACAAGGTTCCCACTCTATTTGCGCCGTAGAGCCCCACTGGAAGTAGTTTGATGTTGTGGGATGGGAGACAGAGGGCTCCATGATGCAAGTAGAATAGCATTGTCGTAGGATGAGCAATTTAGCCCATCTGATGAAGTCCTAAGAAGCTCAGCCTGAAGATCATTTTCCAAGGTCCCTTGAATGGAAGGCTTTGGGATTAAATTGAGGAACCTTAGCAACTAAAATGTCAGTTTATGGGAGTTCATTAGAATCCCTTGGCAGAGAATCTTAGGTCCCTTATCAAACTGGTCTCTTGAATTCCCTAGGATAGAATCATGGATGACAGGGGAATGAGGTGGGTGTGGCTACGCCCAGCTCTTCTTGACGGCCACTGGGGGCGTGGCCTTCAGGAAGAGCTGGGCGTGGCCACGCCCACCTCGCCCTTCCGCATCGCAGCTTGTCGCCAGGGGGGCAAGGGAAACTGCGAGATGGTAAACCTTGACCAAACATCCGAAAATAATTCCGAAAAATGGGTAAATTGTTT